AGAAGCTGGGAGAACAGGGCCTAGTCCGGAACCATGGCCTCCGAAGCAAGGGGGACGGGAGGAAGAGGCCTCGGGTCCCACGCGTACGGGCCAAAGTGGGAACCACAAGGAGGGGACGAGACAGTCATTCGGCCTGACTACAAGTAGGAAGGCGGGGTCCCGGGCCGCGGTGGCTCGGTGCCCGTCCAGCCGAGGTTACGGGTGACAGGCCCCGGTACCGGCTGAATCCTTCCCACTGCTTGCTCGGAGCTTCACACTTACTAAGATCCGCTTGAAGAGAGCGTTCTCCTTGGGCGGGAGGCTCACGGCCGGCATCGTTCCGGCTCCTCCCGAGGCTCCCGCCACCGCCCGGCTCGGTCAGTGTGTTTGTCCGACCGCCGCCGCCGTCCCCTGGCTGCTTCAGCCTTGATTGCCCTGATCCACCGCCACCACCAGGCCTCGGGTGTCACAGCGTCGCCCAACCCCGACACCCCCTTCCCCTCGTTGTCTTTTTCCCTTTCTCACTTAACGCTGCCGCCGCCTCCCCCCCCTCCCACCACGGGTCTCCGTCGGCGGTTCACGTGGTAACTGAACAGACCGACAGATGCAGCCAAAATGGCGGACGCGCAGGGTTTTCGCATCCGGGTCACGCCTTCTAACACGCATGCGCGGTGACCTCCTTTCCCCACCTCTTCTGTCCTGGAGCTTGCTGGGAAACTTGGAGGCCAGCTGGTGGGCCGCGGTTAGCTTCGACGCCCCAAGCCCCGCCCATCCAGTACTTGGCGTGGGTTTTGGAGGCGGTGAAGGAGCGGGGGCTGAATGGTCGACTCTATTTCCGACAGCCTCTGCATAAATAATAGTCTTCCCGCTGTTAGACTGCCCTTTCGTTCACTGAATCGACTCTCCGACTGATCATAGCTTGAGCCTGCAGTGCTAAAATGCAGGTATTCAAGAAGCGTTGTGTTTGATCATGGACAAAGTTGTCTACTAGTTAAGGGTCGGGGGGAGGGGTGTGGAAAGGGAAAGGCTTCACGCCAGTGGACGACATACAAACATATGGAGAGAAGGGTACTTAATGGAGTCTCATAACCGTGAAAGAGCTTGAGCAATTAAATGGACTTGCTTGGTTGGAGTACTGGTGATTCAGTTTTAAGACGAGCCTGGAAAACTAAGCAGCCAGATCCAAAGTGTCATTTTGCACTGCCAAAGAAGCATCTGAATGTAAAAGTATGTTTTTGTTTCATAGTTGAATCCACTCATTGCAAGGTTGACGACTGTCTGAGTCATCTTGGGTAGTAGAGTTAGGGACACTGACTCCCCTGGAGCTGGCTGCCAGCTAGTGCTTTACATCGTGGCTCATTGAAATCTTCAAATCTCAGAAGCCTGAGGGTATCTGCCAAAGATACTAGGAAACTACTGCAGTAGGCAGGGTCAGACCAGATGCCCACTAGGGCCTCTTCCACATACATGTCATTTCATTAACAATCACAGTAAAACTAAATGTTTTTAATAGTTCATTTTTATTGTATTTTACATTACTATTTATCCCCCTTATACCCTCTTCCACCTTCACCCACCCTCCTGAACTAAGTTTTAAAAGTGGCATTCCACTATTGATCTACAATTTTTCACATTGTATGAGCCATTTTTACTCTTGATTATTTTTGGTGTAAAGGTTTTTATGTCTTTTCAGAGAGGGGAAGGGAAATAGGGAGAGGAACATCAGTGTATGATTGCCTCTGACCCACCTCCTACTGGGGACCTGGCCCGTAACCCAAGCATGTGCCCTGACTGGGAATCGAACTGACCATCACTCTTTGGTTTGCAGGCTGGCACTCAATCCACTGAGCCACACCAGCCAGGGCCCCTTGATTATTTTTTATTTTCTCTCCAGATCCTGGATTTGATCCATAGCGTTCTTTATATCACGAATCATTAAATAATATGTGCCATAGCTTTCCTCTTTTAAATGTATTCACCCAGATGTTTTACTGGTTTCACTTCCTCTTCCTTGACCCTCTCTGGAAGGTGTGAGTTAAGTGAGATGTTTCCCAGTGGAAAAATCTGGGACTAATGCTGCGGTTTTCCTCTATCTCGATTGCCCTCTACTTTGCATGGTCCATTAATAAAGTTTTAGTAGTCAAAGCCTGGAATTTGCCTCAGTTTCTGTGATTTCAAAAGTTTCATTAAGAAAATTATTTTGGAATATGGCCAGTTTTTTATCTTAAAAAAAATAAACCTAAGAACAAACTTAGAATTCATAAAAACAGTTAGTTTATAGTAATATTTGAACTTCACTGCCCCCTTTTAAAAGGTCTTTCTTTTAACTGTCTGAACTATAAAAAGATAGACTGTCTAACTTCAGGTTGTGTTTAGGTTTAGGATTTTCTTTAAGATTAGGTTTAAGGTTAGGGTTAGGGCCAGGATTATATTTAAGATTAATGTTAGGTTATGGTTAGTGGTAGAGTTAGGTTTAGAGTTATGGTAGGTTTAGGTTTAGGGTTAGGGTTGGCTCCATATCCAAAAGTCCCTATAGCAATACTATGTGCTATGGTTTTCTAAATTTCTCCTGTAAATAATACACTATTTTCCCCCTGGAGGAAGAAATTTTCTGGTTTTTGAAATAAACAATAGTTTCCATCAGAAGCTAAGCACCTAAATAGTTGAGCCAGCGACATAGTTTGGCAAATGTTACATTCTTTTTGGTAACAAATACCAGTTTGCTGATAACAAATACCAGTTTTTAAGATTCAGTGACTTCTAGTGTGAGTCAACATTTATCTGAATCATATCCTAGTTAAAATGGGCTACAGATACAGACTAACAGTTGGACCACACAGTGTCTTGATAGCCTGAATTCCACAATAAAATACCTACTCTGATAGGTCATCACTACTGGACAGATGGAGATTCTATTTATGCTGTGGATGACAGCTATGCTGGAAGTTAACATATCCAAGGCTACATGATGATGATGATGATGGTAGTGGTGGTGAGTTCATCTTACCCCAAATATTTGCATATGACTACTGTCAAAATGCCACCTCCCCTGCAAATCAACTAAAAATAAAAACCATCCTGCAAACTTTAATTCCACAAAAGAGATATGTAGAGGGACTAAAACTCTGTTTTTCTAGCTGCTAATTCAAATCTCTTCTTCCTTTGCCTGAGTCATAAATAAGGTTTTAGCATTCAAATTCTGGAGACGCTTAAATAACGTCTAGTATCAACTTCTACCGAAATATCAGACCTAATAGCTCCTGGCTGGACCCGCTTCACAGGGATTCTTTTCAAGATGTGGTTTCACCTACAGCTGCCCACTCCAAGTGTAGGGTTCCATCAGCTCTAACACACTGAGAGAAATGTGCTTATACTTCATCACTTTCCCAAAATATACACTAGTGAAGCTTCCAAGGGCCAAAAGAACAAAATAGCCTTTTCCAGTAGCAGTACTGAAATGAGCAATTTGCTTCCTGGCTCTGCACGCTCTGACTAAACCAAGGCTTTTGTTCCAACTTGTTGGATACTAGCACAAGCTGTGTCAGGACAAGTTTCCAAGGGACGGTGTAGAAAGGATATAGGGCTGAAGGTTTGCTGAGTTGACAAGAAGAGACAGAGTTGAGAACCAGCAACTGAGTCAGCATATCAGCTGAGCAGTGTGCTTACATGAGCAGGAGTCCAGGAGGTTCAAACTAGGTTACAAACTATAAAGCCACTCTCAATTCAGCAATCAATGTGGCCATCACTTACATATAAAAAGGAACCAGAAAGCATCATACAATCATTTTACTCTTTGGTCAATAATTTTTGGTTAAGATTCTTTTTCAGTAACATAGTTAAAGAAAATATAGAAGGAAAAGAGATTTGTTAACATCTTGCTTTTAAAATGAGCCCAAATGACATAAGGCTTGAAGAAGTAAGGTATGAAAATTTTACCTATACATATTTTTACAAGGTCTTTAGACATCAAATCAAAATGAGAATTAAGTGCAGAAAAATCTGGTGCAATTGTGAAAACAAAACCTGTGGATCAGTATGATGTCTTTTAATAGGCAAAACCAAGTACTTTAAAAACTAGGCCACCCAATGACCCTATAGGATCCTATAGGATCAGTTTTATGTTACAGATGTAAAACTGAGGCACCGAGAGGTTAAGTAATTTGCCTAAAAATCATACAGCTAAATAGGTGTGAGCAGGAATGGCACTTTGAGCCCTGCCCTTCAGCTCAAGGCCTCAGGAGACTGTCCCAGCCTGTTAGGTGGGCTAAGGAGGACCTCTGAATCCCGAGTCAAAAAACCAGAACCTGAATCCCACCCACCTCCCCCAGCGGCCCATCTTCAGCAGGTCAGGACATTTCTTTTAAAATTCGAGGGTTATCTTTTCCTCACAGGGTTGTGAGGCTTTACTATGATAGTGTGAGTAAACAGACCAGGAACTGTAAGAGGGCTTTCCAAATGCGAGGTGCAATATGTCAGTCTGGATGAATAGCTTGTCTTCTTAGAGCTCCAGCTGTAAATTGAAGATAATAATCATGGCATGTCATGCAGTCGTTGGGAAGATGAAATGAGACAATACATGTAAACCATATGATGTATTAATGCACAATACCCGGAACACAGAAGTCAATCAACATGTCAGTTATTATCCAACACGACACTTCATTTTCAGTTTTCTGGCTCCCGATGGTGGATTTTAGTAAGTCTCTTGATGAGTATCCCTAGGGGAAGGGTCTGCAATCCACTCTCGGAGGACAGAGAAGAAGATAAACTACCTCCTCCTCGCCCCGCTCCCTTCTCCACCACCTACACCTTTAATCGTTTCCTTCCTAACCTCCCCCCTCATCTCCCCGCGCCCGCCCCCCGCCCCCCCCCTCCCCATATTACAGACTGGAGACAGAGCGGAGGAGTGCGAATACTTGGCTCTAACTGCGATTCTCAGCTAAAGCCTCTGTGCGGCGCGGCTGCGGAGCCGGCGAGTCCCGCGCCTCCTGACGCCAGGGGGCGCTCTGCCAGGAGCCGACTCCCGGAGAGGCCCGGTTCGGGGAGGCGGGGCCCGGCCTGGCAAGATGGCGCAGTCCACGCTCTTGCGGTTCCTCCCTAGGCTGCTCGCCCCGGCCAGGCTCACGGGGGGCTGTGAGTATCCCTCCTTGTGCAGGCCGACCCGACCTCGTAGCCTGTCCTTCCCGGGGTGAACCGAGCTCGCGGAGACAGGGAACGGCTGCGGCCCGGGCTCGTCCTACCTTGACCTTCGCCGGCCGGAGCCCACGTCTACTCCTACCCCTAACTCTGCTCCCCATCACGCTCCGCCAGCCCTCCTCCGAGTGCCACTCCTTCCTCCTCACACACACCCCTCTTGGTGTGTGGGAGGGGACTTTGGGTTCCTCCGACCCCCTCTTTGCAAGAGGGGAGACTTCCCGGGGGTCGCCCACTCCCGAGTCTCCCAAGAGTCTGCAAAAACCAGTAAACGAGGCCTTGAAGGCGCCTGAGGGGCAGGGGCGACCGCTCGGGCTCTGCTGGTGGCCCCGGACCAGTTACTTAACCTCTTTGAACCTGTTTCTTTGACAGTTTAAGGGGGGAGGGGTGAATGGCAGAATTAAGTGCGATAATGCGCTTGTTAACGTTAGGTGTTTTTGCAGTAAGGTGACAAATTACTGATTTACAGACTCTCTGTCCCCTTCCAGCGTCGGCGCGGTCAAAGTTCTATGTTCGGGAGCCGGTACATGACAAACCTGACTGGCTGAAAGTTGGGCTGACCTTGGGCACTTCCGCCTTCTTGTGGATCTATGTAAGTCGTAGTCCCTTCCGTCGTGCGACCCCAACACAGGGGGGAGGAGAAACATCAGTGTGAGATTGAATGTTGTGAGCCATCTCCGGGGCGGTAGCATAGGGATAAAATTGCGGATCACGCGTTTCTCCATGAGGGAAATCTCAAGGACTAAAAATGTCATTGGCATCAAGAAAATTTGATGAAGTTGAAATTTCTGTCATCATTGTTACTTAGTATGGTTTTGTCGCCAATAGCAGTTTTACTCCTATTATTCTTTATTTTATTTATTAATGAAGTTGGAGGTTGCTTGGGATTTTATAAAAGCATTTTTTTCAGATGCCATGGAGACAAACCATTAACGAACAAACTATTATAAATTAAACCCCATTAGACTTCTAAAATATAAGATTTTAATCATTGGCTTGTATGACACATTGTTGGAAGTTGTACTGAGTATATAGGTATGTAGCAGCCTTTTGTTTGTTTTTTGTGGGGTTTTTGATCTTTACAATATGCCAACTGCTTTATAAGTAAAAACCCATTTAATCTTCTCAGTACACTATGTGATAGGTACTATTATTGTTGACCTTTAACAGATGACGAAAACTCTTGGAGAAATTAGTTTACTGAACCTTATTCTCCCTAACTTCAGAGCTGGCTGCACTATAGACCAATTTATACATTCTTCATGGAAAGCTTTCCTAAAAAGGAGCTTGATTGCTTCCAAGAGCTCTGATTGAAATTAAATCTTTAATTGTAGTAAATGTCATCCTATATCAACAATCATTGTTCCAGTTGCAAATTCTTTCAGACAGTGGTTCTGAAAAAGTGGCTGTCTTCTGTGATGTCTAATCAATACACAGTGGGTGTGGGGTTATTCATTCACCCACAGTATCAAGTTTCTAAGGTTAGAAGTGTAATCCCCACCCACCAGCCAGCCTGGACCCCGTTTACTAACCAAGTCCTGCTTTGCTGTGTGGGTTTATCCCATTAACTGCCCACTGAATGAAGTAACTTATTTGGCAGAAGTTAAATTTAAATTTTTAAGAGTTCTCAAATGGAATATACACATATACTTTTCTTAGTTTTTGGACTTTTGCATCTCCTAGCTTTTTATTTCTAACTAGAATAGTTGTAACTCTTTTCATCTACCCTTATTCCTTTGCAAAATATAAATATTAGTTAGCCTCCTCCTCTTTAATTTATAGAAAGATTACATTTCTAATTGTAATTGTTACCTCCTTCTAGCTCATCAAGCAACATAGTGAAGATGTTTTAGAATATAAAAGAAGAAATGGGTTGGAATAAACTTTTAAAATATGAATACAGTAAGTATGCAATTTTTATACAATGAATAGATTTCGCAAGTTAATTTGAACTCTTTAAGTACATATTTTGGGTGTTTTTTTTTTTGTATTAGGTTTATGCTTCTTAGCGCCTATCTTCCTGTCTGTGATAAATTTATGAATTTTCAGTACCTTGGCTCTAGCATCACTTAACATAAACATTTTTAACCATTGTGCTTTATGTTGAAAGAAAATTATGTTTAAGAGTGAAACCAGGCCCTGTCTGGGTGACTCAGTGGGTTAGAATTTTGTCCCAATACCTCAAGGTTGTAAGTTCAATCCCTAGTCAGGGCACATACAAGAAGCAACCGATGAATGCATAAAGAAGTGAAACAGCAAATCTATGTTTCTCTCTTTTCTCTTCTTCTTTCTCTAAAGTCAACGAGTAACTTATTTTTTAAAAGAATGAAACCAAAATCATACTATTTAATGAAATCTGATAGGGCTATACCCAGAGCCTTCATGGCATTTATGTTGAGTTATCATTGTTTGTGGATATATTTCATTTTTTTTATCCTCATCTGAGGACATTGTCATTGCTTTTAGGGGGAGAGAGAGAAACATTGATTAGTTGCCTCCTTTATGCACCTGGACCCCAACCCAGGATTATGCCCTGACTGGGAATTGAACCCACAACCTTTTGGCAATGGGACAGTGCTCCAATCAACTGAGCCACACTGGGGTGGCTAATCTATGAAAATCTCAACTTTCATAGATTAGGTTGAATAAAGTAAATATCTGCTGAATAAAATAGTAATCACTAATGTACATTCTGTTCTCCCATATTAACACTCAAACTTAGCTCTTTAGGGTTTGATTACCCAAAACTTTTCAATTTTTTTTCTATTAATGTCACCTTGCACATATCACTACCTCAGCCAATCAAGAGATAAAAATAAAATAGGTATTTAAATCAAAACCTTATGTTTTTGTTATTCTTTTTTTGTAGTTCAAATAAAATGTTTTTTGCTGTAACTTAAAATGAGGGGTTGATACTCTGTGAATTTGTTTTCTAGACTTGCTTGATGCTCTAAGGTGATCATTTAGAGTGAGCTAATTTTAATATTTCTGCTGGTTATTGCTATGGTTTTCTTTTTGTTGTAGGTATGCTCCATATTCCAGTGAAAGCAGTTCCATTCTGTTCAATTGTAAACGTGAGAGAAAAGTTATATGTGAAGATATGTCATTAGCATTTGTGTTTTGCACCATTAAATGAAAAAATAAAAATATTTCTGTATTCTTCAGATTGCACATATTATGGCAGTGTGTAGATAATGTGAATTCTAAGGGGTATTATTAGAAGTATTTTCTCATGGAAGTTACCATCTGATAACAGGGTCAGAGGTCATTAAAGACCCATCGGTAAGAAAACTTGTTAGGGAGACAGATGAAAAAATCACTGCTGAAGAATTTATTCCTTAATTAACTTTGACTTTCTAATCAAAACACTTATTCTGTAGAATAAGAACTGCTTTATTAATCAAAATACAAAAGAGCCCAAATACTCTTTTCTTCTAGGGTAGTCATTTTGGTTAAGTCAGAAAGTAAAGTTGAATCCTATTATTAGAGTTTCTTCTCACTCCATTTCTTTGATTTTGAATGATTTTCACCTGGATGACTGGGGAATGGCAACACAAGTTTGTTGTGATTTCCATCACAACAAACTTGCTAATATTTTCATCCAATGAATAGCAAATTCCTGACTGTTTCAAAAAGGAGGGAAGGAGGGAGAGGGGTTAGTAGACACAAATTAAAATACACCTCATTTATTCTTCATCAAAATCCTTCCTTGTGAATCAATTAAAACTTATTTACATAAGTTAACCACTTTGTTAACTTGTAATTTAAACACAATACACAATAAACACTTATAATTTAAACGCAATAAGTAATGAACATTTAAAAGTTCATTACTTATGTCTCTATTCTGATGTTTAATGGAAGGTTTATTGCCTGACAACTGGCTTTATGTATGTTTTAGGGTCTGGCCAACACTTATTATGGGAGATTCATGCAAGACCTTGGGATGTCACTTCTGAAAATACATTCAGAGTTACATTATTTTAGATAATTATTTAATCCAAATTCAGTGAAAGACCAGATACAACAGTAACTATTAAAACTTTTGTCAATTTGGAGTCCTCGCTCATAGAGCTGAAAGGACCTTAGGGGTCATGCAGACCAAACTCATAATTTTGCAAATGCAAAACCAGAGGTGAAGAGTGATTTGTGCAATGTCACTGCGGTAGGTAGAATTCTGAACCCCAAAGATGACCATGTCCTCCTCCCTGGAATCTGTGTACATGTTAAGGGGAATTGAGGTTGCAGGTGGAATTAAGTTTGTTAATCAGCTGGCATTGAGATAGGGAGAGTATCCTGGATTAGCTTCTTGGGCCCATTGTGATCACAAGGGTCTTTGTAAGTGGAAGACGAATGCAGGAGTGTGTGTGAGTGACACAGTGTGTAAGATGTGACAGGCCATTTCTACCTCTGATGATGGAAGGGGCCAAGAGCCAAGAAATGGAAAAGTCAGTCACACAACCCTGTTGTCACCTTAATTTTACCCCATTGAGACCCCATTGGATTTCTCACAAAACCATAAGACAGTAAGTCTCATGTTTTAAACTACTGAGTTTGTTACAGCAGCAGTAGAAAACTGCTATCACATGGCAATGGAGACCAAGAAGTCAAGTATCAACTCCCAGTTCAAGGCACTTTCCAGTAAAACACCTTTTTTTAAAAGATTCTATTTATGTATTTTTGGAGAGGCAAAGGGAGAGAAGCATCAATGTGTGGCTGCCTCTTGTGTGCCCCTCCCACTGGGGACCTGCCTGGTCCACAACCCAGGCATGTTCCCTGACTGGGGATAGAACCGGTGACCCTTTGGTTCACAGGCTGGCACTCAGTCCACTGAGCCACACCAGCCAGGACACCACTCATATTCCTGAAAGGAATAGAAGACTTAAGACACTTGAAATTCTGGAAGCTGATAGCCTTAGTTGGAAATAAAATATAACTACAATAACTGCATGTACTGTATGTCTGGCCTTGAGAATAGTTACCCTGTGTGGACTTGCATCTTGATCGTATCCTGTGTAAGTCCAGGGGGAGCCATTTGTGAAGACCAGGAGTATTGGAAAGTACTTTCCACAGTGAGGGAAATGTCCTGTCTGGTGTCCCGTACAGCAGCCACTACTCCCACATGGCTCATGAGCATTTGGAATATGATTAATGTGACTGACTTTTTAATAGTTAATGCTAGTTCATTTAAGTAGCCCAAAGGGGCACATAGATTATCCTATGAGTGAACACCTAGAGCTGGGCTACATATGATGCTGGCAAAAAAAAAAAAACCCACAACTTTCCAAATTCAAAACTGAAACCCAACTTAAACCACTAACCTAGAAAAAGGTGTTGAGGATACAGAGTGACTCACAGACCCCGAAATAGGAATACGTCTGGGCTCAGACATAATTGGGGCCTGGGACTCGGATGTTGTCAGGGCTTCTGCTTTTGGCTCTGACATCTGTGCCGTCCACTTCAGAGCCTCTGCAGGCAGACCCCTCCCCAGCGCCCGCCGTAAAGGGCTGGCCGCAGTCAGTAGTCCCCGGGTTTACCTTTCAGTTCAGGAGAGTCCTTGGACTGAGAAAGAATCATTCTGATTCTAAATTCCCAAGAGGAACCCTGGTCAAATGATGGTTCCTTTAATAATAACGTAAAAGGCCCTATGAAAAAGGATGCAGGCCAAATGTAGTCACACAAAAAAAACAGTCAAGTTTTTTTATTAGACCAAAATCAGGTTGACCTTTTTTCAGATTTAGTGTCTGTGAGGTAGTCACTTAAATTATTTTCTCAACTTGCCATGGGCAAAAACAGGCTATATAAACTCCATTTCAAGACTCGGAAGTTATGGGTTGAATTGTGTCCCCCAGAAAAGGTGTGTCGTAGTCCTAATACCCCAGTATCTCAGAACGTGACCCTAATGTGGAAGTGGGGTCACTGTAGTTAAAAATGAGTTCATAGTGGAGTTGGGTGGGGCCTTAATCCGATATGACTGGTGTATTTGTGATAAAAGACACGTAGGGAGAAGACAGCATGTAATGATGGAGGCAGAGATTGAAATGATGCATCCATCAGCCAAGGATTAGCAGCAAACAGAAGAAGCTAGAAGAGGCAAGGAAGAGTTCTCCCTTACAGGTTTGAGAGGGGGCGTGGCCCTGCCGACACCTTGATTTCAGGCTTCTAGCCTCTAGAATGATGAGAGAATAAAGTTCTGTTTTAAGCCATCCAAGTTTATTCAGTTTGTTATGGTTGCCTTAGGAAAATAAATGCACGAGTGTTCAGAATACCACGTTAATTTTGCTACGGAAGAGTGAGTAGATGGGGGAGTCCCGAGTCACCCCCAAGAATGGTTTCAGAATTTACCACCTTTTTTTTTTTTTTTAAAGTGACTTTTAACAACTATCTTTTTTTTTTTTTTAACATTTTATTTATTTATCTTTAGAGGGGAAGGGAAGGAGAGAGGGAGAGAAACATCAATGTATGGTTGCCTTTCGTGCGTCCCCTGCTGGGAAATGGCCTGCAGGGAACCAGCCTGCAACCCAGGCATGTGCCCTGACTGGGAATCGAACCGCGATCATGTGGTTCGCAGGCCCACGCTCAATCCACTGAGCTACATCAGCCAGGGCCAGAATTTACCACCTTGATTACCCCTTCCCCTTCATTTTATCTAAGGATCTTAAGCCATCTGGAGCGTGCTTATCAGGAATTTCTTAATTACTTGCTAATTTGTCTTCCTAGATACTTTTCTAAATTATTTCACTGTATATCCATATTGATCTGTTGAAAGTACCGGTCACAGCCTAAGAATTTAGTGCTAAGAACAATAAAGCTGTTTCTAGCTTCCTGTGGAGTTTAGGAAATCACTCCTCTTTGAAAATTGCTTATTAATTATATGGCACTTAAGCCTTGAATAAGTATGATTAATATTGCCAGTAAAGGCCCCTTACCATATGTTTTCAAAACAAGTACCTTTGTTAGTAGTCACAGTTAGTTGGAGGTCATCTTAAATAAGCCAAGTTATCTCTGACTGTAGATTCTTGTTTTTCCTGGACCAATAAAATGTCAAGGATGCTTGCTCAAGGGCAGCACTGTGGACAGGGTGACAACAGTGGGTGAACCGTTGCCAAGCCTCACATAGTCTGCTATAGCAAAGACCCGGTGTTCAGATTCTCTCGGGTTTGGGAGAGACCATTTGAGACCGTTTGCCACGGAGTGAATCTGACAGCCCACAAGCATGTCTTCTCTTGGGAGATGTTTCAAAATGTGAAGAGAGATTGCCACCAAAATGGAAATGCTTCATGTCCTCCAGGAGCAGCAGATGGAGAAAATTCCCTACCATCCAAGGGGTCTGAGCTTTTAACTAAGATGTAAAGGATCTGGAGAAATGACCCTACTCTCACCATTTCTGCCTTGCCCATCTGGGAGGCCACACCTGATCTGAAGGATGAGACAAGCTCCAGACAAGACGGGGGAACACAGTGGGTCCTGCCGTGTGTTCACGGAAAGGCAGCTGGATACAGTGAGGGAGCCTGGAGCTATGGCTTAGGCTTGGAGTAGAACCTAGCACTGCCTCCTCCAAAGGCTGAGCGTGTTTCATGCCAAATGTGCTTTAGGGCTCCACATTTTTCTCAGACCGTAAATCAGACCTGGTGTCTGACTCCCAAACTCCTGCTCTTAACCACACTAACTTGATGGGGGTTTTTTCATATGTAGCATATGAAATAAATCCTATCCTATGTAGCACAGGATAATCAGCATTCCCCTACCTACTCTTTAGGAGTGTTAAGAGTTATGAACTGCAAAAATAGGTATGATAATACTTTGGGGAAAGTATTTAAAACCCCATATACATATGTGTTATTTTTGCATTGTTTATAAACCAGTTTGGTTATAAGCAAAGGCCTTAGATTACATTTATGAATGATATCTGACCGGGGATTTCTGTTTGATCATGGACCCCATTCATGGTGGGCTCGGTTCAGTGTCTCTTTGCCCTGGTATTTTAACCTCCAGGAGCAACAGCAGAAATCCTATCTTACTCATTAAAGAATGCCCTGGAACAGTGCCTAACACATTATACTGAGTAAATGTTTGTGAAATAGGTTATAAGCAATCTTCAGCATGGAGCACAGTCCCTGGCATACTGTGGGCATTTTGACAAATACAGACAGTTTGAAAGAATCTGGGGATGAGCCAGAAGACCTCAGACTGTACATACCCAGACCCCGGTCTATGCCTGAGTTTTGAAGGGGGAAGCCTGAAATAATGTCTCGGGAGCCATCATCATTTACAAATTCTGTCTGCTCAGAAAGAATTATTTTAGGGGAGCTTCCAACACATTAAATAAATATAATGCATGCAGTATAAATGCATTTGCTGCCTTCGACTATTCCTCTCCCTAGCAACCAGATCAAAATTCAGCCCTAAGTACAAGAAGGAAAGAATGAGTGGTGGTGGTAGACAGATTTGTTTTCTTGTTTTAAAATTTTAAATCCAGCTTTGCCAAACTGCGGTGGTTAGGAGTGTTCTGGACAGATTTGTGTTTATGTGTCCATCTGTCCTGGCTGCTAGCAGTTCATTGAACATTCTCCAGCACCACTGAGAGAGCTAGTCCCTGCTTGCTGGAGTGTGTGTGCTTTAGCTGCTCAAAGCTAGAGGGTGTCCCCCTCTTCACTTTGTTAATTTCAGCCCTGCCAAATGTCTTCGTGGGAGGTCCAGGTCTAGCTCCTTCCTTTGCTGCTTAGGAGTCCAAATTTGACCTCTTCTTACCTGCAGATTACCTAAATGCTCTCCTTAAATGTTTAATCCTTAGGAATGGCTAGCTAGTGTGAGTATAAAAAAAACCCCACAAAAAAAAAAACAGTTCTGACCATTGGTTTGTACTCTCCAAAGGAGAAGATGTTAAATACTATTAGAACTGTGTTCAGAATCTCCAAAGAATGTTTAGTTATCAAGTAGCAAATGAGCAAATATTTTGTCTGCAACGTGCCTTAGAGAACTTGGAAGCAGAGAAACGATGTTCACATCCTTTTTATTTTTTGATGACCATTAATCCTTAGACATTCCTCCAGGTTGCTTGCCTAAGGGGTAATTACCACAGCCTTCAGAGGGTTGAAATGAGAACTAAAGGAGATCTAAGTGAAAGTGCTTTAACTGTAAAGTGCCAAACACACATAAGGGACTATAGCAGCACAGTCCCTACTGAAGAGTATTCATTTAGAAAATGTAAATGATTGAATTTTCACATTCAAACTCCAACAAATTGTTGTGGCCACAATGAGTCAATCGATTGAAATCTGGGTGAAGAAATTAATAATTTAGTATTTTAGTTGACGTGCAAATACTACTTTTCCATCTCATAGAGGAATACACAGCATTTGAGGGTTTTATAATTAAAGTCCTTTTAACAGCGAATTGCTTAGATAGTCCGCCATTGCTTGGGGACTGGACGATTTTGAATATCACCCAGGGCGCTAAGGGAAGGTGGAGGATACCCCGCTCTCCGCACCCTTTCCACTCTTGAGAGAGCTAAAGGAGTGTGTGGCACAAAGTGGGTTCATATTTCATCCGGCACAATAAAACAAGTGTATGCCTTACTCCAGATGCGAACCCCGAAACATTTCCAGCCTTGACTGAGGAATTCACTTAGCGCAACAGTATCGTACGGGACAGGCAGGTGACAGGGACTTCTCGGTTTCCGATCCCGTTTCTGAGATGCCTCAGTTTCTTGGATCTCTGAGAAAAAGCCACAGAGCCTGGAGACTGGGCTCAAGGGAGGACCGTTCGGACAGCAGCCGCCCAGGCAGGGCCGGGCCGGGGTCCGCGCCCCACCCCGAGGCGTGGCTCGCCCAAGCTCAGTGCGCCCTGCAGAGCGCGGGCAGCAGAGGCTACAGCGCGGAGCTCGGCGGGCACAATGTATCTTCGCAGAGCCGTCTCTAAGACGCTGGCGCTGCAGCTGAGGCCGCCCCCGAGCCCCGCGCCGCTCCGGAAGGACGGTGAGTGCCCGGCGCTGCCCCGGACGCCTCCCCCACGCTCTGAACTGAAGAGGACAGGAGATCTGGGCGCAGATCCTGCGGGTGCCCTGGGACCAGTCTGCCCCCAGTGGGCCGAAACCGACCCAGGGCAACATAAGCCTGAGCGGAGAGGTGGTGGGGGTTGGGAAGGGTCTCCGGGAAGACACCCCGACGAAGTTCTTGGAGACTTTGATAGTAGGAAATCTTTACAGCACGGCTTCTGAATACGGACTAGGCTTCCTGGGTTCAAATCTTGATTTTACGCAAGTGCTTTAACCTCAGTTTCCTCATCTGTAAGCTGGGGACAGTATGGTTGAGTTTTAATTGGTTAATGTATAGTTAACGCTTAGAAAAGTGCCGGCTAACGTACTCTTGGCTTACCATTTTTATTACTGTAAGAACCAATGCACTCTCCAATTCGTGGGGAAGTACAGGCTTGGGGAGGAGGGGAGGCGGAGCCCCGACCAGCGAGCCAGGCGGGTGCAGGACGGAGTGCGGGTCCCATGGAAGTTGGTTAAGACTCTTAAGTAAATAAACTCAAGACTCAGCCGGGGCGCAGCAGCCTCAACCCGCGAGCTTGGGCCCTGGCACTCCCCGGCCAGGAAGACCTCCCCGGCCAAGGCCACCTTCCTTGGCGGCGGCGCAAACAGCCCTGGAGCTGTCCCGCTGTTAGATGTGCGAATTCGTGGGAAAAGGGGGCGTATTCAGAAATTTCCTGAAGGGGAAGGTGCGCTGAGAGCTAGAAGGCCATTAATCGACAGGCACCAAAGCCCCTAGCACGCTGCCTGCGACACTGCAGGTGCTTGGGTGTGAGCGTGGGAGTACTTGTCCCGCGCATCAGGTCCGCGCTCGGATGCGGCTCCTTCCGAGTCCCCGTCCATCTCCCCTCCTTTTCTCAGTGTCCATGATTGGGGGAGGCTGTCCGTAGATCACTTCGTGGAAAGTTCTCAGGTCTCCCTTTGCGTCGTCTCACTTCCTAACAATTGTCAGGGGGCTTTAGCCCAGTTCGTGCATTGGACCCAGAGAGAAAGAAGAGTCTTGCGGAAAACTCCATGCCCCCCGCCCCCGACTTCGATCAGCCCGGTGCTGGTGGTGGCGGTGGGAGGGACGAAAGGTCTGCCCAACTAGCTTCATTTTTCTCTTAAAATGCTGGTGGGAAGAAGTTGCCTTACAAGTCACAGAAATAAAGAGTCTTCGTTTTCCTTTGTCTTTATACAGAGTAAGATAGAGCCCATTTTTTCCCCCTGATGAAATGGAGAAGCCATTGATCTTAAACTCCTGGAGGTGAAGGGTTGTTGTGATGGGGGTGGGGCGGGAAGAAAGACGAACCCCCCCCCAACACTTGGCCTTTCCCGCGTTATCCGTCTGCGTCCCCCCACCGTCGTCGCGCACGTGTGTGTGTGTGTGTGTGTGTGTGCGTGTGTGTGTCTGCAGATGGTTCACACAATTTCCTGTCTACCTTGAGGCAAAGGAAGAGTGGTTGAAATCGCCTAAATAGGTAGTTAGCGATACTGGTGGTAGCAGTGACGATCTTTCTCTAATTTTCACCCGATCACTTTTTTGTAGCGCTGATTTGCTTATGTGTTTGAAGAACTATTATTGACTGGAAATTTGGCTTCGATCATGGACATCACTTAACCTTGTATTGGTTCTGTCTACTCTGAGGAAAAAGAAAATTGTTTCTGTTTTATCGAAGGATAAAATTGTGCGCCTCATCAAATTTTGTTATCTGGTTTTTCCTTTAAAAATGTAACTTTTTAATGAATAAGTAATTTAGGTTTAAAATAGATCATTCAGAAAGACACAGAAAGGCAAAATAGAAGTCATCTGTAATCCTACTTTTCATTGAATACTATTATTTACCTTTATAATGCATATAATATTTACCTTTATATATAGTATATATAATGTTCCAGGCTTTTTCTCCCCCTCATGCATTTTTTCCCTCATGCACAAATCTGGGATAGTCCTGTACAGATTATTTTGATATAATTTTGCGCTTAATATATTGTAAATATTTTCTCAAGTAAGTAAATATTCTTCTGGGGAAATTATATCCATTTTTTCCCATTGTATGAATATGCTAAAATTTTTCCAACTAATCCTTATTGAATATTTATTTCCAATTTCATTGCATTGTCAGTAACTTTGCCATAATTGTATTTGTATTTAAGTCCTTACTTAAATCTCTAATAATTTTCTTTATTTCTTTCTATTTAAAAATATTTTTGATATTTATGTCTGATTGACAACTATAACACTAACGTATTTTCTGTTTAATAACAGATGTATTTTAAACTAACAAGCTCCACTACAAGTCAACCCCATAATCTCTTATCATAGCTTATTTGGGTGCATTTGCGAAAAATTTTCTTTTTCTAAGAAATGGACATTTATATTCAAAATAAGACCATATGTGTGAGTTTTTTCAATTCGACCACTACAAAGACTTGCCATCAGTGTGAATTTCTGGTCCCCGCACCAACTCTCTGTCGGCCACGCCGGACTCCTTCGTCCTTTCTGAGTCAGACCACTCCTGCCTCCAGCGCGGTTTCCCGTCCCCTGTTTATCTGACAGACTGCCACGTCCCCTCAAGACTGAGGCCATATCTTTTTTTTAATTGCTTCTTAAATTGCCATTCTGTAATAGGCCATGTCTCTTCAACTGTGGCAGCTACCTGGAGCCCGCTGGTTGAGCCTCCCCTGCACTCTCACGCTGACGTTGCAGCTTCTACCGGCACGGATGACGGCGTTTGTCACGCTGTCCTGACATTGTTGGCCACGGGCAGTCACTCGTCTGTCGTCTGCCCCTTCTCTGTGGGCTGTGGGCTGCCAGAGGCCAGGAGCCTCGTGTATCTCGGTCACTGTTACGTCCCTAATGCCTCTGAGAATGCTAGACACGTAGTAGGTGCTCAACTGTGTTTGTCAATGGATAAATGTCTCCACATTTTTATCTTTAAAATAAAGAATGTCATCTCTGAGCTTTCAGCTCCTTCTAGCTTTGAGTCTATTATAAAAATTCAATTCCAGGAAATAGAGTAGATACAGATTCCAGCTCTACCAAGGTAATATATTTGAATATAAAAACACAACACTCTCATCTATTAGTTTGTACAGAATTGTACTTGTATTTCAGATATGACCTTCGCAAATTTGTCTTAAAGATGGGCTTCTCCCTGGCTGGTGTAGCTCAGTGGATTGAGCACGGGCCTGCGAACCAGACAATCGCAGTTCGATTCCCAGTCAGGGCACATGCCTGGGTTGCAGACCAGTTCCCTGCAGGCCAGTTCCCAGCAGGGGATGCACAAAAAGCAACCATACATTGATGTTTCTCTCCCTCTCTCCTTCCCTTCCCTTTTGAAGATAAATAAATAAAATATTTTTTAAAAAAAAGATGGGCTTCTCACTGCCCATCTTTAAAGGCTTTATACTAGAAAAATGTATCCATTTGTGTTACAGACTGATAGAAGTGTGTTAAATTTCAACATACATGTTTCAACATAAAAATTTAAGTATAAATGTATTTAATTCATTTTTTTTGAAAAATAATCTTATCCACTAAATCCTATGGTAGAGTACATGCAGTAAATGCATTTCTTCTGCTTATATGCCTCTTGTTTGACTTTAAAGTTGTTAGTGCTCCTGTCATTTCTCCTTACCCCTGCCTGCACTCCTTCCAAGAAAAACATGGTGCTAAGCATCAGAATGACAGGTTTCATGCACACTTGTCAAATTAGGTTGGGAAAATGTCAAGTGGAATTATTACCCTACCTCATAATACCATATTCCCTTAAGCTCAAGTCACTTGATGTTAATAGATTCTAGGTTCACTGAGCAGAAGTTTTTTTTAAAGACATGATTATTTAAAATAGTTCTGCTTAAGTGGTGGAGCTAACTGTGTTTAAACTTGTTTCCCCAGCATCTTTCCGCTGGATGTCATCTAAAAAGACCCCTGGACCACCTGGATCAAACATGACCTACTACCTGGTCGTAGGTGTCACGGTCAGTGCTGGTGGATACTACGTAAGTGCTTGCCCCCAGCCTTCAGGAATTCGTGTGCTTCACAAGCTGTGGGGAACTCACAGCAATGTTAAGGTCAGGACATGGGATTCTGAGAAAGGCCCAGGTCATTTTAATTATTTGAGGCTCTGGATAGATAAAAAAACATAATGCCAGACTGGTATGTGAAACTTGTGGTATATATGAAATGCTTATGTTTAATAAACAATTAATACCACTTGGAAATAACTTCCAAGGTCTAAATTTGAGCCCCTCTCCTCCAATGGCCTTCCTTCTACTCCGTGTTTGACTATGATAGTTTTGGAAAAGCTGGGTTCTCTGGGCCACCCGTGAGTGTGAATTACTCTAATATCATCATCTCTTCAGTTCTGCTTAAAGTAGTTTATTTTTCTCATCCTGCGTCCTAGCCCCTCGAACAAGAAGACTAATGTCCCTCGGGGTGTTGCTGCTGGGAAAGTCAGCTCAGGGGTGTGAACCTGAGCACAGGGTCAGCACTGGTGTACTGAGAATGAAGGTGCTGACTCAGCAGATTGGTCCTATCAGGTGCCTTGGCCTTTCTAGCTACTGTGCATGTTTCCGGTCATCTTCAACCCCTGTTAGAGCATTCGTTTCTTTCCTTCTCTATGGATTCTAAAAGGAAATGAAAGAGTAGATGATATGCATTGCTTCTTCTTCTTTGAATTGTATATACCTTTGAACTTGGCATGATGAACATAAGTCATGACAAAAAATACTCAAGAAATAAACTAAATTACATTTCTGCTTTCAGACCTACAGGACAGTAACATCAGAGCAAGGCAAACATAGTGAACCCATAACAAATTTGAAAGAAAAAACCAAAGCAGAGTTACAGCCACTTCAAGGTAAAGTTAATCTATTAATATTTTTTCCTTGAGGCTCTGATTTTCACCATCTTAGCCTAACAATGCTTACTGTTTGCTTTGGGCTTCTTTACTAACTCAATCCAGAGTGGCTCTGGGTAGGAGTTCCTTCAGAAAGAGGAAGCCCAGCCAAAACCTAGAGGCTGTTGTTCTGCACCGATGCTGCTGCCCCGCAGTCTTGGCTTTTGTGTGGTGGTACCACTCACCCCACCCAGGCTCCCATTCACACAGGTGTAATTGTGGTGCCTGCCTCTCATGAGTCTGACTTCTCATTTCCCTCATCATTTTTTTAAATCATAAAACAAATTCCTGTTTCAGTTTTGGCTAAGACCATCCGGATGTCTTTGCCCGAAGTGCACTTGACATTAGTAGCAATCGGTCATGTCTGTCGAGTCCCTCAGTTGATCTGCGCAATAAAATGGCAGCTACAGGAACAGAAGCTTTATATTTTCATGCTAATAAATATTCCTTGCCTTACACTCCTTGCTTAAACCATACTTTTCTCCTATCTTAATTATAATACTATTATTATCAATTACTGTGAGCATTATTGGGTGAGAGAGATAGTAGCTTCTCATGGACCAGTTTTAACCTTTCAGTCATGACAACGATAAGAAACATGATGTCATTAGTAAACATGATTGAATAGAATGATAAGAAGGGTGATTGCAGTACTAATAAAATGCAGCATTTCCATAGCAGTTTAGTGGTTTTAAACCCCCTTCTGTGTACAGTGTTTTATTCAACCCTCACAATAGATTTGTGAGATAGATACTATTAATATCCCCCACTTTAATGATGACAAAACTGAGGTTGAGAATAAAGGACTGACTCCTCAGTATCATTGGCTGGTAAGTTGACTGCTTCTCCATGCTGTCTCATGATAGGTTGGCTCTTCATGCTCCTGTCCTTTGTATTTGAATAAATAATACATGTAAATTATTTTTTTAAGTTCAACGTGTTCAAAGGGTTTGCAGAAAAGTCCCTTCCCCCATTTTCCCTCCCCAGAGGGAACCAGTAATACCAGATTCTCTGAATGCCCCTGGAGAGAATCTTTGCAAGTATAACTAGCTAGGCATGTAAGTTACCCTCCTTCTGTCCTAATACAAATGGTACTAAGCTGTATACATTGCTCTTTTCCTTGTTTTTTTTTTGCCTAACAGTCTACCTTGAAGGACATTACATCAGTGTATACAGATCTGTCTCGTTTTTTTAAGTGCACAGTGTCCCACTGTCCTCCCATGCTCCTTCAATGAATATTATACTTTGCTTAATGGACTAAATCTTTCAGGTGAAAAAGAGAACCTTGTAGAAGCGGAGAAAGCAAGTTCTGAAGTCCCTGAAGTGTGTTCAGCGGAAGCTCAGGTGGTCGATGCTGGAGAAAGCTCAGATGCTACAGTCGCAGCGGCAGCGGAGGCTGCAGCCTGTCGCGACGCTGCGCAGCCTGCTCAGATGGAGACCCCCGCAGCTGGGGCTGAACCTGGGCCAGAGGTTCCAAATGTGGCCAGGGGTGAAACTGCCGAAGTCGGCACCGAAATGACCTTGGAGGTTACCAGTGCAACTCCGGATGAAGCCCTTGCCATCAATACTGATAAAGGTACAACAGAGAACGAAAGCTCTGATGAATGTGCTGAGCTGGAAGAAGCAAATTCTCCCGTTGAGTCAGAATCCTCTACTGCGGATGATTTACAGGAAGAAGCCAGAGCTGGTGCCGAGGCCGCCGAGGCCGCAGAGGCTCAAGAGGAATCTCCTGCAGATTGATACTCAGCAAAAAGTGCCGTAGAGACTGATAGGTGCTTTTGTAGCTTTAGCCATCTTGGTTGGTTTGGGGTTTTTTTCAAGACTTTTTTGCTTAGAAAACTTTAATGTGCCTTGAAGATTTTTGGTATCTACTTGATAGGTTTCAGGACTGAAAATTTTGAGATTTTATGTGTCCGAGGTCAGATATGGCATTGTAGTAAAGAGCTTCAAAGACGTTCACCTTGGGGTTTAAGTTGCGTGTCATGGGAATTGAGCTACCTACACAACCTGCGTTCACTTTAATTTCGCTCTGCCTTTACCTTACTGCAGTGTCCGAACATCTGGATTCTTGAGTTTGCATGTGAACTCACTTGAATAAAACTAGAATATCATTAGTGCTTCTATTTTCATTCACTAATATTTATATGTCTAGATAACATAGCGTATATGAACACACGCACGTATAACACCACGTGAACATTGCAGAATTATCCAAGCAGTCATGTCCTCTGAGGGCTCTGCATAGTGACATGCGGCCTTTATCCTTGGTGGAGGCTCCTCCTCTTCACAGGGTGAACCGTCACGATTCTAGGTATTCTCCTGAGCCGCGGTAATGTCCATGGGCAGGCTTTCAAATGGAAGAATGTCCTGGTTTAAAAAAAAATATTTTTTTTCTTTGTAACATTTTATTGTGGAAATTTTCAAACAAAAGCGAAGAGAACAGCATACAGCATCCTCGTGTGCCGCGCGTGCAGATTCACTCGTGATGTCAACGCTTGGCAAACCTGGTGTCCACAGTCTCGCCCTCTTATCTCCTACCACAGCCACTGGCAATAGGTAGTAACAACAATAATAATGATTTTCTAGTGTTATTAATTATCTAGTCAGTGGTCCAATGTCCTCAACTGCCTCAGAAACATTCCCCGAACTTCAGTTTGTTTTCGAATCAGAATCCAATTAAAGTCTTCAAATTGCAACTGGTCAACATTTTCTTAAGTCCCTTTTTCTATAGGTTCCCCTTCCAGCTCCCTTCTGCAATTTATTTATTTTTTAAACTGGATCAGTAGATCTATAGAATTTTTCTCAGTCTGGGTTTTGGTTATTACAACATGTTTTTTGTTTTGTTTTGTTTTGTTTCGTTTCAACATGTTCCTCCCTCTCTGTCCTTTTTTAAAACATTTTATTTATTTTTGGAGAAAAGGGAAGGCAGCGAGAAAGAGAGGGAGAGAATCATCAATGTGTGGTTGCCTCTCACACACTCCTGCCTTCAGACCCGGCCTGCAACCCCAGGCATGTGCCCTGACTAGGAATCGAACCATCAACCCTTTGGTTCACAGGCCAGCACTCAATCCACTGAGCTCCACCAGCCAGGGCCCATGGGTACAGTCTTTAGATCTAGAAGTTTTATCAGAGTGAGATATATTGTTTTGGCAGGAATACTTCATGTGTGGTGTTCTTACTTCCATCAAGAGATCCATATGTCTGTTTTTCTCTCTTTGTGATGTTAGACGTTCTTTACCCATTTTTTCATTAGGAGTTGTGAAATGGTGATATTGCATCATTATGTATAAGCGGGATCACTACTTTAAAGAGAAGCTTCTTTCACCAACTATTTGATTACACTGAGATACAGTCCATACAGGAAGGATGGAATAAATGCTTTGGTCTTTATTTTTATTCCCAGTTTTCAGGACGGTAAAACAACATTCTCCATAAGTGACTAATAATATTTTAGCATGATTATAAACTCAGCAACTTAAACATAATTTATGCACTTCAATTGATTGCTGTTATTACTCTTATTAATACTCAAATTTTCCGTCAATGACAAATGGGAGATTCTTCAAAAGGTCTTCTGAATCATTCTTTTTTTTTAATCGATTTTTAATTTATTTTTTAATTCTTTTGACTTAATGCTCATAGTCTTGGATACCATCCTTGCTTTCTGGTATAAGATGTGAATATCCTACCCCAGACCTGAAATCAGCAGGAGCTCTGCTTCTTTTTAATGTGGTTGTAATACTTAAGGGTTTAAGTATTTAAACTACAATCAGGGTGGTTAAAGGGTGTCCATTGCCATCATTGGGCTGACTATTGTATCTAGGCCTTTAAGTGGACAGAACTAAGGGTTTTCTTTTTTAAAGATAAAATGCATCATGAATTCATACTGATACCTCTGATTCAAATTAGGACCACAGGGTTTTTATTTAACCTGACCAATCTTCTATTCTACTCCAAAAATTTGCATCTCAAAGACACCAACATAATTACTCAAGTGAATTATCCCATAACACACACACTGCTGTCTCAAACCACAAATGCTTTCACTAATAATAAAATTACTAAAAACACTTCAGAATTTATTGCAGAGTACTTTTGACCCTTACTGTATACACAGTGATATACTGAGATATGAAGTCATACACAGCAGTTCCTGTCTGTGTCGCAACCGTAACTCGAATCAGTTTCTGATTGCTTTTGAAGGATTGCCTTTTAAGACCATTTTAAACTTCTTAATAATGATGTAAATTCCTTACTTGGCTCTAAAGTGGAATCTATGAAACAAGAGATATACAGAGAAGTCTATCTTTTCCTTTATTCCTTCCATCTGGTTCTTCCCACTTTGTGGGGTTTTTTTCCTTCCATATTTTGGTATAAGCTGTATGTGTGCATACATTTGTTACCCCTACTTACTGGATATTCTGCAGTGTTCTGTACACACAGGTCTCCACCTTACTTTTTTCATTTAACGGTGCTCCTGGAGATGGCTCTATTGCAGAACACAGAGGTAGTCCTCATTACTTTTCATGGTGGCATAGAACTCCCTGAGTCGGTTCCATGGTTGACTCAATCAGTCTCCTACTGACGAACACTTGAGTTGCTTCTAGTATTTATTGTCACAAATATTGCTGCAATGAATAGCTTCTTGCACATTTTTTTTGCCAGTGTATCTTTGGGATAGATTTCTGAAAGGGGGATTGCTAGGTCAAATACAGATGTAACTTCACTAGCTATTGAAACAGTCCTTCCATTGAGCCATACCATTGTGTACTCCCAAAGTAGCTGTGCATTGAGTGTCTGTTTCCTGTTGGAGTGCAGGGTCAAGCACTGGGATTTTGATCATGTGATAGATGAAAAATATCTCACTGTGGTTTTAACTTGCGTTTCTTTTATTAAGAGTGAGGTTGAACATTTTTTCATTCGGTTAAAGTCCATGTACATTTCTTTTTCTGAAAACTATTTGCTCATATCTCTAGTGAATTTTTAAAAATATTTTTAAAATTTATTTATTTTTAGAAATAGGGAAAAAGAGAGAGAGGAGAGAAACATCAATGTGTGGTTGCTTCTCGAGTTCCCCCTACTAGGGACCTGGCCCACAACCCAGGCATGTGCCCTGACTGGGATTGGAACCCGAGACCCTTTGGTTCGCAGGCCAGCACTGAATCCACCGAGCTGTACCAGCCAGGGCCTAGTGAATTTTTTAGTGTTGTCAGTACTTTCCTATTCTATTTTTTAGAAGTTCTTTGTATACTAGATGGTAAATGTTTGTTTCTAATATAAATTATGAATATTTTTCTAATTTGTCATTCATCTTCTTACGGTATTTTTATAGTACAAGAGAGTTTTAATTTTTAGGTAATCAAATTTCTGGCTACTTCTGATTTTTGGGCCATTGTTAGTGTAGCAGGTTGGGGGGAAAATAGCGACAAATTTCCTCCCCCCCTTCCCATATGCACAGTCTTGTGCAGTGTGACTTTCTGAATCTTCCCATCAAAAGATGGAGACTATTATTCCATCCCTTAGAATTTGGGCTTGCCTTATACTTCTTTCTTTTTAAGATTTATTTTATTTATTTTTGGAGAGGGGGAAAGGAAGGGAGAAAAAGAAGGAGAGAAACATTGAAGTGAGAGAGAAACATCAATTGGTTGCCTCTCATATGTGCCTGACCAGGGACACCAAACCTACAACCCAGGCATGTGCCCTGACTGGCAATCCAACTGGAGACCTTTCTCTTTGCAAGATGATGCCCAACCAACTGAGCCGCACTGGTCAGGGCTTGCCTTGTTTTGATAGAATCCTGCGAACATGACTTGGTGAGAGTTCTCATACTCTTGGACCCCTGGGACCACCATGTGAAGAAGCCTGGGTTAGGCTCCCTGAGAAGGAGAGACCATATGGAGAGAGAGGCCCAGCCTACAGCTAGGCCCTCCTAGACCACCCAGCTCCAGCCTTGAGGCCAGACAACTGCAGTCGTCTGAGTGCGCCCAGGCAACATCAGAAAGAGCCACCCAGCCGAACACAGACCAAATTGCTGGGCCACTTAACTGTGAGCAAATAAGATGGCTGTGTATCATGCCATGAAAATGGGGTTGTTTAAGCAGCGGTATGGAGTTAGGATAAGAAATAAAACTTGGAAATTCGGTGCAGACTTGCTTTGGTGTTGCTGCATCTCACTTTTCTCAACGGGGGTGAGGAAAGAGCTAGCCGTGCCCAGCAGATCCAGAGTTTTTCTGGCTTAACCTCCTGGCCGAGGGCTGCCTTCTCTAAAACCTTATTTAGAACTCCTAAATGCCAAGTGTGACTGCATACTGAAGGCTTCCTTTTTCCTTGTAACATTCAGTATGTATTTAAAATAACCCTTTGAAGCAGCTGTTATCACGTCCCAAAGCAACCTATGTTTTATTAACCTTTTTCAACTTTAACAAGCAGTGTGATGTCAGTTTAACAACAGTTTCCATTGGCAGCACTTTTATTATCAGACCATTGACTGATTTTAATTAAATAAAAGATACACATTTTAAAAAGTCAACGTGAAATAGAGTCTGGGGCCCAGAGTGAGAACCCAATGTAAAAGCTCAACCCTGGCAGCAGAATCAGAAAACCACATCACCTCTCTTGACGAAGACAGGGACGTAAAGGAAAACTAAGTTTACAAAAATGCAACGCACATTCTAAAGAGACAAGGATATCTAAAAACCACTTTACTTTTAAAGTTAGCTACTTCCAATTTAAATATTATTTTAATTGTTGAAGGAAATATATGGTGCAATCATGAACAATGGATCTGAGATAACTACTCGGTCCATTTTTTTTTAATTTGAATTTTCTGTTACAAAGGACAGTGAGTTTCAAGCCAGCTTTTGAGAACTGCAGCTGGATTCAGGAAAGATTAGTTTCTGAATGTGTCAGTAATTTCTGCGCCAAGTATTTGTCCTGTCAGATGGCATCTGTCGACCAGAAGGCACACTGTCAACTATAATAAAGCACATTATATAATGTTTTTTTAAGGAAGATGCCTTTTTAAAAAGATATTTATTATTTTAAGAAAAAAGAAGAAGGGGAAATTGGTAGTGGCCCCATGTGGAAAGATTGCCCTAACTGGGAATCAAACCTG